CCCCCCCGCTTTGAACTTCCCGCCCGCCGCCCGCGCTGCCCGTTCGCCGCCGCAGTTTCCAGGCTCAGCGGGCGGCAAAAGCGCCGGATAGCCGCGGTCTCTCTGCGTCCCCTCTCAGGGCCGTGCCGAGGGCGGCCACCGGCCCTATCCGCTCCGTTCCCTCGGGTCCACCCTAGGCTGGTGCCTCCGGCGCCGGCGAATCTGCCGCGCCAGTCCCACCGCTAGCGCGGTTTGGGCGGTTGTCAGGGAGAAGCAAGATGGCGGCCGCGGCGGCGGAGGAGGACACGGAGCTGCGGGACCTGCTGGTGCAGACGCTGGAGAGCAGCGGAGTACTCAATAAGATTAAGGTGGGAGAAGAAGAGCCTCTCGCCGGCTAGGAGCGTTGGCTGGCGCTGGCGGCGCTTCGCGGCCCTGCGGAGTGTGGGAGGACTGAGGCTTCCCGTGCTTCGTCTCCTCTCACTCCCGCTTGCAGCCGGGGCGCCCGTCTGGAGAGCTCCCTCGGCGTCGCGGCCTGGTGGTGGCGCCTGCTTTCCCGTGGTGTTCCCCGGCTGCTCGTGGTGGAGCTGGTGCGAGCGTCCGGGGCCTGACCATCGCACGGCGCTGCCCCGCGGCCGCGGGAATTCGGGATCCCCCGAGCGGGCAGAGCGAGGGGAGCGCGGCGCCGCCGCGGGGAGCCCGGCCCCGGCTGCGCGCGTTCCCTCTCAGGTAGCGTGTGGCCGCAAGAGCTCCCTTGCTGCCGCCAGACTGGCTGGAAGCAATGGGCAGCAGCGTGGTGCGAGACGGGGTGGGTGAAGTTGATCCCTGCTTCGATACCGAAAGCCTTTACTGAAAATTTCAAGCGGGAGTTGTTGTGGGTCGCTATTTAAGCACTTGTTCTTCTTGAGTGTGGATTGCTTCAGTTGTGCCTTGAAGGCTTGCTAAGTTTGGAAACTCTCGGGGGATGCTGCCTGCTTACAGGGTGCAAATAGCGCTATATACACAGAAGATAGCGGAGTGCACGTACTACTGAGTCAGTAGTGCAGCCTGAGCTTGTGTCAAAAAGCGTAGGAAAATTGATTCCGTGGATTCTTGTTCAAATTAAAAGCTTTCAGCAATAATTATTGTGTGTAATAGAGAGCAACACAGGTACGGAAGCCTAAAAATAAATGGGTTTCATTCAAGGCTAGAGGAGAAATGAAGTGTAGCTTTCAGATGCGGGATGGTGGTGTTTATCCACAGTGCCGTTCTAAGCCTCCAGAGGTCATTGCTGATATTTCAAGAACAGTTCAACAACTGAAGTGGTTTATGGAAGTGAGAGCGTCTTTGTATATGTACTTTCAAGTTTACTGTATTGTGAACTAGTCATACTTTTCAGGAAAATAATATGCAAAACCACATTGTTCATCCCTTTCAAATGGATGATTGTTATTTAAGTTCTGTAAGAGAATGAAGATTCTAGCTCAAGTAACTGTGTTCTGAGTAGTGAGGCTTTCCTAATAGATGTCAGATAGGCCTTTTGGGCCACCTGTTAACCACTCACCTACCATTAAACAATCCAAATATGGTGATAGTAAAATTGTAATTAAAAAGGCGTGGCAATTGGGTCACATTGAGCTCGTGAACCAGAATTTCTTAATTCCTACCTTTGTGTCGTATGTAAAATTCCATACTATGGTTGCCAGTCCATTGAGTTTTATGTGAATAAATTTATTGTAGTTCACTGTTCTATAATGCTTAGAGCGTGCGGTATCCAATACTGTGTAAACTGCCGTTACGGCAAATTAGCAAATAACTTAGAAAAATACAAAATGTGGCCTCCTTGCCAGATTATGTCTCTCCTTAATACAAGGTGTTACTGTTTAATAACTGGTATGCTTATGACTAAGGCTTTTGACTTGGAGATCTCATGGTGGTTTTTTTCTTAGCTGTAAGCCTTAATTGGCATGTGAGTTTGAGTGTTGTTTGGCAGTGTTAATGACACAGAGATTTTGTTCTACTATTACTTGACAAAACCCTGTTGCTGGAAGAATTAAGATTGAACAAGGCTTCTTAAACTGTCACCTTTTAATTGAAATTAGATTATACCATCCATTAAAAAAAGTTGCAGTCATCCTTTTATTAAAATTAGTTAAACTTGATTTTATTCAATAGTGCTTATCTATTATGTGTCAGTATTTTTGTATTATCTGGTAGAACTGAACATTTACATGTGACAACTGATGCTTGTTTCATACTTTAGAATGAGAACTGACCATTTTTCAAGATGAATGAAGCTAGAAAGTTACAATAAAGCATTTGTGATTTATTGAAGTAGCTACATTAAGGAGAAAAATATGTGGTCAGTGTATAGCTGCATTAGTATGAGGCACTGGAAGGGTTAGAATTCAAGGGGAATTATTTCAGTGGATGGAATGTATCAGGGTGTCACGCATTTTGTAACATAATGAGAGTAATTTTCAGAAAGAAAATTCTTGTGATAATTTAGGTCTCTAATAAGAGACTATTTTATAATGCCTTGCGGTTTATTAGTTTATTCTTATTTTGAGATTAATTTATTGGGTGCATTGGTGTTAATGTAAATTATTTAGCTGAAAAAATTTACTTACGATATTTTAAAAATCTGTTCATAATTTTTGATTTGTCTTAAAGTTTGAGCTCTGAAGTAATTAGTAAAGTAATATTGTGAAAACTGGAAGTTGTATAAATTTATTTACAACTTGCAGTTGAGAATTTCCTGTATATTTATCTCTAAAATGCAATATGTGTGTATATGTATACACACACGCATAAATTTATATAGTACAGATGTATACTATATATAGTTTGTTGATCATTGGAATAAGTCTGATGAATGAACCAGCTTTCTAATGAATTCTGTAAACACACAATATAACTGTAGATATTTGTATTTCAGTGAAAATTATCACTGTTTCTGTCTGTGTGATAGTGTACAAATAGAGAGTTCTGTCTTGAAGAGAATGTGATCTTTCTCCTAGGGAAGCTGTCATCATCTGAGCAAGAGGAGCCATTATGCTTCTTGTGTGTTTCTTTGTTATCTTATTTTGTTTTAGTTTATATATTTTAATCTCTTGCTTTGGAATCATTTAAGTGTAAGTGAATTTTGCATCTTTTCTGGAACTTGCTGTTGCTACAGTTATGTGAGGGGAGTTAGTATCACTAATGTAATATGCCTAATAAAGCTTTTTGCCAGGTGATACTGATAATTTCTTACTAATTTGCTTCAAAACCTGGACAGCAGAGGTATGGGCAAATGGCATGATGTTAGAGAGGATAAAAGTTCAATTTTTTAATATGAGCATTTGCACAGGTCAGTTAAAATTGTCCTGTTTGCTTTTGCATCTTTGATCCATGTACAGTAATGAACAGTGCTTGTAAATGTCTTGGAATTATTACCTGTCACGATGAGCATGCTGTGCACTGCAGTGTAACCTCCTGTTTTCTGCATGTTGTGGTGTGTTGTTTGTTTTGAAGCAGTTTATACCAGAAAGTTAACTTAATATCTGTTTCTTTTTAGTTTTATAATTCAAGTAAAATAAAACCATTTTTAATTATTTCAAATAAACTAACTGAAATTCAACATTTAAATGTCAATGTGGTCCTCATCATATTCTCAGGAAGTAGTCTAAGTATGACTGGTTCCACTCCTAGTCCAAGACTGTGTTTATGTCTAGGGGTTTATGTGTGCACAATCACTCCTTTATGTCACTTAGCCAAGATTCCAGTTTGGCAGGCAGTGGTGGAGATCATACCCTCAATGTGCTCAAGGATGAGAACCTTTACAGATTTTGCAGATGGAGATTACAGGGAGGGTATTACTGATTAATGTTGGTAGAGATGTTCCTGGTTGTGGTTTGACACCAGCCTTGGATTTGTGATGCATGTAGACTGGGAACGGTGTTTATCCTGGCGCACACAGAGTTTTAGCCTGGATTGATCACCAGCAGTTAAACAGCTCAATGTTCTGCCATGTCACTTTCCAGAGCAATGCATCTGCTCTCTGTCTACCAACGTGTATGACAGTTGTTTTGGAGTTAGGAAGTGGAGATACTGAAAGTTGTGCAGGAAGTGCCCATGTGCCATTACATTTTACAAATGCAAGAGATTGTTTAACCTTGGGCATGCACGGGACTGTTCCACAGTACTGGAGCAGATGGCAGTGACACATTCCTGTGCTTTAGCTGGAAGGTCTCTGAGAAATCTTACGCATTACTTTAATAATTTCACTTCCCTAAACCACATATTTAACCACAGCATCCTCTGATGCACATCTTGTGAGCGCAAGCTTGCAGGAGATTTTGCACCTCCAGCTGACCCATTGCAGATCTCTGAAGGGTCTCCTGTATTGGCACTTGCTGAACTTGCCTACCTACCCCTTGTTACTTAGGGAATACACTACTCTGCCTGTATGGCTTCAAAAACTGTGTTCACCTTGCTGAAGTGTGTTGAGAAGAGTGGTAACATATGCATTTGGCAGGCTGAAATTTATATTATGGTTTCTGCTAATGAGTCTTGGTTGAAAAAAGAAGCCCAGGAGTTCCTCTGCAAAAGCTGCAGAACTCTAAGGGTTTGTAGAAATGTTGAGAGATGCACGAAGCAGACAGCAAGGCTTTGTTAGCTAGCAGACAATGTAATATTCTACTGTGCTATAGGTACAAAGCAGTTTATGAAGCTAAAGTTCCCACTTTTTTACCTAGTATTCCACAGCATTTGGAGATCAGTGTTGGGAAACCATTGCTCATTCATATGAAATATTGCCCCAGCAGTAGAAAATATAGATAAAGTTCCAGAAATTCCATGGACTTGCTAAATATTATACATGTTGGAGTCTGCAACTGGGAGGTGGTTAGAGATAATCATTCAGTCCTGAATGGTCTCTGTCTTATCCTTTCACTTTTCATCCAGTATCTGCTATGTCAGATGCTGTGGATAGCGTTACAAGCATACTGCTAAGTCAGACCAATAACCTTTTTAATGTAGGTGCTTCTGGTCTTCCTATTAAAAGTATATTTCCAAATTAGATAGCCAATTTTTGAGATGCCGCCGAAAAAGTGTGTTTGGGGAGCTCTTGAGATCGTAAGGACTGTTATGCTCTTTTCCAGGGAGCTGCAGATTGAGGGAACTGCTTCCATGGACAGTCCTTAGGGTACATGCATAAGGGTCTCTATTTGGAATAGGGTAAATTTACCCAGGTTCTAAAGAGGGATACTGTAATTCAGTGCAGAAAACATGCTTTCTTTCATAGACTTTAATTTCTGATTTATAGTACAATAACAATCAGTAAAAACCAGTGTTGTCTAATGAGCTGTAAATGCCTGGGAGGAAAAGGGAAAATTTTTGTTTCAAAACACTGACCCATACATTTCTCTAACACAGAGAGTATTTGTTACATACAATGATAGCCTTACTTGTTTAGCCAAGTTCAGTGAAACCAAATTGCTGTTTCTTTGACATGAGCTCGTGCCTGATAAAACTTCTTAGTGATAGAAGAGAATGGGTATCTTTCACAGGATGAAAAAGAAGTCTGTAGGCTTGATGGGTGTAGAAGTGGTAGACACTTACTCATCAACATCTGTCTCTGTTGACATAATCCTGTTTTATTGAAGACTTAGGGCATGGGTGGGGAATTAGAATATCAAGCTTTGGTCTGCTTTACTACTAGACAGTGAATAAAATTTTTCACAGTGTATTTGGATTGTGTTGAATTCTGCTAGCAGAATGAGGCAGCGTGGAATAGCGAAATGATGAAAATGACAAGAGTAGATTGTAAGGATGTATGAGACACATATTGGACTAGTGCCAAATGGTACTAGGGTAAAGAGAAATGCAATCTGTTTATTAAAAACAAAATCCATTAAAAACAAAAGAAGTGTGAGAAGGACACTGTAAGTGGATTAATCTGTGTAGTTATAACCTTCATATCTGCTGGTAGGAGCACTGTGGCCATACCTGATGATGGTGATCTCAGTCTCTGCTGCTCAAATGCTCTAGCACTGGCCTTAGGTCCTAAAAAGTCTATATGACATTGTCCATTCTGTTGGTGTAGTATGATTCATCTTGTACTAGGGTGATTATTCCGTTGGCCTCAGCTTTGTTATTGTTGCTTTTTAGTTTCTTCTGCATGAAGTTGAGAATTACTGCTTTAACTTCACGCAAATTCTAGTGTGTGGTTCTTTGTCTAAATTTATTGAGATGATATTTTGAGAATATTGTGCTATGATCTGAGCAGTACCCACCACAAAGGATGAAGGTCAGTGTGTTGTTGTAGTAGTATAAACTGTCCTTGTGGGGATAGTACAGGAACGTGTAACTTCAAACATTGTGATGCTTGCAGGGTTAGAGGGTTGATTGCAGGGCCATGTGTCTGTGGAAAGGCTTTAGGGTAGTATTTTAGCTGATGCAGGTAAGCTAAAGGGAGATGTAAATACCAGTGGCATTATCTTCTGGTGGTCAGCTCCTGACCTTAAGTTTATTAATTGGCACTAAAGTAAATAAAGGTGGACCTAAAGCTATTCACGGGGAATGGCAGCATCTGAGAGAAATTGACCATGTGTCATTAAATAGATAAGAGGGAGAAAAGCAGCTCTGTAGTAACTAAAAGCCAGTGGGTTGGACCTCGGCGAGTGGAGCAGGCATACAATCCCAGTTAAGTGAAAAAAAAAAAAAAAAGTGGCAGTTTGATATTGTTCCAGAATCTCAAAACAGGTCAGATTCTAGATTGGCTGATGTACTGGCAACTGGCAATATATCCAGTCCCATGATCCAGACCCTTAGGGGGGTTTGCCCCTACCCACGTGCATTGGCTGGTGTGTTTTATTTTGAACTTTGTTATTTTTATTATCCTATTATGTAAATATATTTGATTTCTGTGACCTGAGTGACAAAGAAAGCCTTGCTTTCATGTTTATCTTAGTGAGGTAAACTATATAAATAAGTTATTAGCTGCTGGTTGCAAAGTTTAATGAAAACTGATTTTGTAAGAATAATATTTAAGTTAATTGCTTATAAGAGGATTTTCTGTTTGTATACTGTATCTGAGCAACTGAAAAAATGTGATTGCAGTGTCAGTATGACCATTGCATATAATTGTTGTGTTTTACTCTTCTTTTGGTGAGAATCCTTTTAGCTTTTTTGCATTATTTTTTGTCTTTCAATAAGGTGTCCAAAGAGGAGTTTCCTTAAAAAAAAAAGAAGTGTTTGTTTTTCCCATGAGAGGTGTTTGGGTTTGTGTTTTTTTGTTTGGTTGTTTTTTGGGTGGGTTGTTTTTTTGTTTGGTGGGGTTTGGTGTTTTTTGCTTTGTTGGGTTTTTAATGGGTGGGCATTTCCTTTTGGTTTTATTTTTTTGGTGGGAGGGACCAGTTACTTCATGTTTTGTTACCTCTTTTAATATATATGAGAAAGTCCAGACATTCTTTGTATTGGTCTTATTCCTAGTTATGGAAAGAAATCTCTCTTTTAAATTCTGGTTTGTGTTGGGTGGTTTTTTTTTTGTTTGTTTGTTTGTTTGGTTGGTTTTTTTGTTTTGTTTTGTTTTGTTTTTTCCTGTGGAGAAAACTTTAATATGCTGTCTTTTCTAGTTTATTACTGCAGTGTTATCTGCTGACTTATTTCAAAATGTATGTTGTCCATTTGACACGTTCAGTCAAAGTAGAAGAATTGTAGTGCTTACAAAAAATTTTTACAAGTGAGCAAGGCTTAAGCTTCAATATTCAGAGTAGTCCTTAGAAGAATTCTGGTTCTTTATAATAATACATTAAGAATCAGGTAGGTAAACCATTACTACCAGGAGTATTTGACTGTGATCACGTTCTTTTCCTTGAGAAATTCTGGGGCTTTGAGTGTAATCTGACAAGAAATCGTAGCAATTTGTGTATCTTAATGTATAGTTTTTAATGGGTTATTATGGCTTATTTGTTCATATTTCCTGAGTGAATTGTAAATGAAGGGTAGGTGTTTTGGAGCTGCCTGAATGAGATGGATGTTTAACTGTCAAAGAAACTAGTAGATAATTTAGGTACTTTGGAATCTTTTTATGTACAAAGAAATAATTTAGGAAGTCTTGTATCAAATGATGCTGCCCCGTGCCTTGTTCTCAAAATGGAAACTGTTATTTCTCTGCCTCAAGTAACATTGCCTGTAATCTTGAGTGCTTTAATTGCACTGATATAGATTACAGTCCATGCCAAGTTGCTTGAGGAAAAAACAAATAGCTGTAAAGCTACTTGCTAGCTCTTTGCATCCTATTTGCTTAGGAAAGAAAGTGCTTGTAGAAATACTGTTTGTTTTGGTTTTTGTTTGGCAGGCAGAGTTACGAGCAGCTGTGTTTTTGGCATTAGAAGAACAAGAGAAAGTAGAGGTAAGAGAACCTTAAAAAACAAATCAGAAAGAAAAAACATCCTTTGTGTAGAATTAAATAAAATAGCTTCAATACTTTCTATTTGTGAAATGTAACAAGATAAAAAGATGTATTTCTGTATAAGATGTATAAAGAACACAAAACAGGACTATCGGGATGTTTCCTGATGTTTTAAAATAGGAATTGTTAAATAGCCTTTTGAAATTATAATTTTAAGTGTCTGTCTCTGCTTGGTTTATATGGCTGCTGTCCAGTTGACCAGAATAGCTAAATGTTTTCTTCATCAAATACATCTTCTAAAAAAGATATCTACTTGGCTGATCAAGATTTTATCAAATCAGAATAATTTCTTGTGAAATTGAAAATATATTTACTGGGATGTCTTGACAAGTGTATTTCAAAAGCAGTTTAATCCAGTAAAATGCCAATAATGTTTATGGTATTTCCTATGAAGACGTTGTAGACTTGCTTCAGGAAAATTTGCTTTAACACTTAAGGATGAATTCTTAATAATGGGATGCACTAGGTACTGACACCTCTGCAATACATTAATATTAAAGAGTGAGATACTGATACGTGGTTGCATAAGAGTACTGCTGTGATACACAGATACCAGTTCTGTGACTTCTATTGCTGACTTTGCTTCGTTTCCTCTGTCTTTCCATTTTCTAGAATTGGGAAGTAGAGAGTTCTGTATGTCCAGCCTCTCTGCTTCGAAAGGAGAGGAATGGAAAACTGTTCTATTCCTCTACTGGTTAGATGGTTGAGCTCTTTCTGAAAAAAATGCTTAACTGAAACAGACAATATTGGGATGTTAGTAAGGATGGGAAGTGGTTATTCTATGATATAAGATTCCATATTACAGAAATTTAACATAAGATAGCTGAAGAAGATGTGGTAGAAGAGTAATATAGAAAAAAAGTGCCATCTCTTTATGGGAAGCTTCAGGATATTATAGAGAACCCAGAGAACAACCTCCCACACTACCTGGAGAGTAATAGCAATAGTTCAAGTAATGGGAAGAGAGATTTGCTGCAGTACATTTCAGCTCACCAATTCTTAAAAAGCTTACATGTATCGTGATATTTTAAATTTACACTGCTGACACTGGTGACATATTAATATTTACCATGACTCTGAATTCTAAAATATTAAGCAAGACTTCATTTTTTCAGGTAGCATTTTCTTGTGTGTTAGTATTTGCAAACTGTAGTGATAAATGCCTATTACTGATCCTTTTCTTACCCAGGATATGCATTCCATCTTAGGAGTGGCATTTAGAATTTGTTTTGAAAAATCCCAGAATGATTTTGACAAACCCAGACATAGCATATTTATTTATTTCTGTTTAAAAATTGAAGAGGGCAAATCTAACAAGGGAGAAAAATAATTTTTCATAATATCTTCAAAGGTGTTTTGATTCATATAAGATAAGTATTGATTTGTGTTCTAATAATTAGCATATTCCACATTTCATCTGGAAGATTTGCAAATTTCCAATTTTCAAAAGGCTGGACTGAATTGCCTTATACTTTGCGCTGTATTGGAGGAGCAACATGGGAAGTTACCTGCTTAGCTTACCTCTTCAGTCATTAGATAAATAAAAATCAGTATTAAGAATTTTGGTGAAATTACTTTAGCTCTGGGACAAATTTAATTTGCCTAAATAAATTTATTGCTAAGTAACTTTTACTTGTAGTTATATAATTCATACAAAGGTAGAATTTTATTGCATGGGTAGGGTGTCATTGTGCAGCAGAGTACACCAAAACACTGGCTTTCTGTGGTTTTCTGTGTCTTGCTAGCATGTAGATGACGTTAATTGCTGTTTGGTTTTTGCTTTTTGACAGAACAAAGCACCTCTGGTAAATGAAAGCTTGAAAAGTTTTTTAGGTACAAAGGATGGTAAGTTCTTTGTTTAGTATATACTTCTGATAATAAAAATAGGATTAAATCTTCGAATCTTATTGACAGAGCAGTCTCCATTACCTTAAGTATGCTTTTGTTCCTTTCAGATGCCCTAATTACTACTCATTCACAATATAATTAAATCTATACTTTTTAAAGTTAATATTGCTGAAGTTATATTTTTAATTAAGGTGATTAAGACTTTGAAGTTAATATTTCACAATGCCTTATGGTTGTGCTAACTCAGAGACATTCTAGACCAACAGAAACAATAACCAGTGAAAACGAAGAGTAGAGGTAGAGGAGTGAATGCGCATATATGACAAATGTCAAAATGATGTTTTTAAAACAGCTGAATTGTTTAAAAATGCTGCATATTTTGTAATTTTGTAAGCAGTCTGTAAAGCTCTTGCAGTATTACTGGCTTAAATGATTTTTATATGATGGCCAATTCAAAATTAGGGAGATGGTATACAAACTTGCTGTGAGGTGGTGGTGTGCTTAATTTTTTTAAACTATGTCCATACTGAAGCCATGTGTGCTGGTGTTACTGTTAAATCTTTGAAAAAAGATTTGTTTTTCTGTCTGGTGTATTTTAACTCTTCTCATCTTCTTTTTAGGTCGCTTGGTAGCAGGTCTTGTTGCAGAATTTCTACGGTTTTTCAATCTTGATTTTACTTTAGCTGTTTTTCAGCCTGAATCAAGCACAGTAAGATAGACTGGTTTTGTTTGTACGCAGTCCTCACTGTTTGAAGTGCATGGCAATGAATGCAGAAGCTATGGCAGATTTATTTAAACCACTTGCTTTTATTAAACACGTGGTGTTTTATGTTTTGTCTGTAATAGGTGCTTAGCGTCATGCAAATACATTTTTCAGGAAAGTGGGCTAATATGAATATTTCTCTTATCAAAATCCATGCTAGATAGTAATTTCATTTTGAATTAACAAGCTGATAATTTTTGTGGAATCATATAATGGTATATGAATCCTGCATACCACTGCAACATGTTTTGCCACTAACTTTACTATGTCATAATGTTAATATTGTTGAAAACTAAAATAATGAAAACTAAAATAGTGTCAGTCATCTACTCAGAAAGAAATTTCAGTGACACAAAGGACTTTGTGGAGATATACTTTACAAAAAAGCGATTGAATAGAATATTTCAGTTGGGAGAGACCTACAGTGATTATGTGGCCCAGCTGATTGCTTTAAGGTTTCAGGTACTGAATTAGAGGGTTTTCATAATCTTTGTCTCTTTTTATGATACAAAGGTTTTAATAATAATTTTGGGTTTGAAGCAGTTTCATTTCACTGCAGAATTTCTCATTATATCTCAAGTACTTTTTTTTCTTGAAGTTGGGTTAAATAGTTAATATATTAAAAATCCAATTTCTTCAAATCAATCAGTCATTTGACTTCTATTATTCAGAAATTCACGTTTCTTTTTAGGAGCTTATTCAAAGAAAATCCCATACAACTTTGTTCTTTGCCAAATATCCTTAGCCAAATTAGTTGCTAAGTTATTACTGGAAAACATCTGTACAAAGATTCATGTTCATGCTACCAAATAAAAACATATAAAACCAGCCACACTTAGTGTTGTGTTGCCACTCACTTTGGGAGCAGTGCTTCATTTGCATTGTAAAGGCATAATATACTCTTTGAAACACCCCCTTCTGTTTTCCAATAAATGTGTCCATTTTACCTATTGCAGATCATAAAGGAAATTTGGCCAAAATTAAGTGAGCTGGCCAAGACTGCTGTGTAGGGTTCTGAAAGATTTGACTTTGTCTGTTTCTACTACCCTCTGTCTCTGAGTAGTTACTTGTACTGTCTCTTTGTCCAGTGTGCTTGGCTAATGATGGCTCACATCAATATTTGCTAGACCTGTGTTCTGATCGGAAGTGTCACTATATGGTCATAAAAGATCAAGACGAACTGGTGTCCTTTGCAGTGTTGCCATCTGGGGCTGTGCTAACCAGCCTGGGTTTGCTGTAGCATTCTGCTTCTCCTATAGTGTGAAGTTCGGTTTGAAAAAGTGTTGGTGGGGTTTTTTGGTAGGGTTTTTTGGATGATACCAAATTGCTTTCATCCCTTTTTCTGTCCAAACCCATGTACTTTTTCATGTGAAACAGAGACTTGAAAGTAAGTGCTGACCTGTGCAAGCGTAGTTCTGTATGCACAGGAATGGTAACTCCCCATCATCCATGAATTTGCTGGCACCACTGGCTGGGTGTCCTTGGATACACTTTTAAATGTGATAGGCTAAAGTAATTTGGCCATATAAATTCTTAAATCCCAAAGCATGCTAATGATGGCTTCTTGCTTATTTAAAATAATTTTGCATGATCTGCGGCAAGTTCAGGTGCAGATCAGAAGTAAATTATGCAATAGATGGTATGTAAAAGAGGTGGAGATGTGGCTCTTAGGGGCATGGTGTAGTGGTGGACTTGATAATCTTAAGGGTCTTTTCCAGCTTAAGTCATTCTATGATTTTATTATTTTAGTCCACCAGCCACAAGACAACATAAATAATCACTGTTTTGTTCAGGTACACCTGTGTTAAATAATACTTTTGTCTTACAAAATATGTCTTTTGTTTTCTGACAGTTATTTCGATGTTGTGATTCTTTTTTTCTTCTGTTGTCCCCCCAGCTAAATGGCCTTGATGGTCGAGAAAACTTAGCTCGAGATTTGGGAATTACAGAAGCAGAAGGTACTTTGGGTGGCCCCCTGTTGCTGGAGGTTGTTAGGAAGTGTCAGCAGAAAAAGACTTCAGGTGGTGGAGAAGTAAGTAATATTAAATTGAAATTTCTTTATTTATTTTTTTTTTAATGATGAAAAATAAACTGAAATTATGAACACTTGGCTATTGTACTGTTTCAGGTCTTTATTATATTATGCCTTCAACTTAATCAGAGAGATGAGAGATAAACTTTATGAATATTACTTTTAATACCACTCTAGGACTCTTTATCAATATTCTGCTACAACATAGTAGCATAGAGTGAATCTAGATAAATGGCACACTGTGTCACTTACTTTCTCATTTCTGGTGTGGTTTGATAACACTTTTATCTATTCCTGTTTTCCTTGGCGTACTTCTAATTTTAATATGACCTGAAAAGCCTCGAATGAATTTTGTCAAAAGCTTTAAAGCTCTACTGAAAACTTATGTACTTAAAATTAAATATATCAAAGTAGTGAACTATTTGAAGGCAATGACAGTAGTATTTGAATGGAACAGATAATAAATATGTTGATTAAGTGAATTAAACCCAACAAATAGCATTTGATTGTGACTTGAAAGAAAGGTCTCTACACCCAGGATGTATTCAGTGTCCCAAAGAAAGCTTAAATTCAGGAGTAGTTGTCATAGACTTCTTAACATAGCAATTTTCTGTCACATGAAAGTAGGATTTCCTTAAGCCCTTGTATTTGCTTGTATTTGATCCATCTGGGAATGCCCCAGGAAAGCCAAGACCCTTGCGCCTGCCAGTCTGTGCGTGTCCTATTATGGGGACTCCACTGAGCAGTCCCACTGTATTGAAGGGTGTTTAAATGACTTGCTGAGGTTCACTTGCCAGCAGTGTATTGGAGTCAAATCCTGTAGTGCAATTTAGAAGGGAGAGCCCCTCCTGGATCGCCTCACTCTGTGATTTCCATACTGTGTGTGACTATAACTTCCCAGTTTTCTCTAGTACTGCCCTCAGCTGTCTTCCCAGTGTCAAGATTTGCATACTGTCCAAGTGAGGGTAGCCTTCTTTCTTGTTGTTGCAATTATCATAGGATCAGAGAATCATTGAGATTGAAAGAGAGCATTGAAAGATCATCCAGTTCAAGCGTCAGCATAGCATCATCACTGTAACCCCTAACCCACAGCACCGAGCACCAGATCCAATGCATCTTGAACACTTCCAAGGATGGCGACTCCACCACCCCTCTGGGTAGCTTGTTCCAATGCCTGACCACTGTAACAGTGAAACATTTTTTTTCTAACATGTAATCTGAATCCCCTGTCTCATCTTAAGGCCATTTCCTCTAGACCTCTCACTGCAGGCACAGTAGAAGAGTCTGGTCCCCACCTCACTACATCCCCCCTGAGCCTCCTCTTGTTTAGACCAGCTACCTCAGCTGTTCTTTTTAGGACATGTTTTCTAGATCCTTCATGAGTCCCATTGCCCTTCTCTGGATGTGTTGCAATACCTCAATATCTTTTCTAATGGGAGGGGCCCAAAACTGAATGCAGTAATTGAGATGCAACCTCACCAGTTCCAGTTATTACAAAATTAAATATAAGTTTTAGTAAGTGCTTATTTGAAACTTCTTAGGTGGCTCCAGTTCTAAGTGACAGCCAGTGCCCCACGTCAAAATCATCTGATGGACGGTCAAGTGCACAATCTATACCAAATAAAGTAAGATTATATATAATAAAAAGCTTTGTAACATATCTGAGATAAGTAAAAGAGAGAACTCCTATGAAACTGCAGATATGACAGCATATTACTCCTGTGAAACTACAGCATTCACTTAAATGGTCTGTAATTTGCATATATTTATTCCACTCAGCAAAACTTTAACTATGATTCCAAGAAAAGATGAGCTGTTGTGCTTATACTTTACTGGCATGACATAGTACAGGCCCCAGAACAGAAAAGTAGGTGTAGCTTCCCTTTTATTGTAGCCAGGCTATCATCAAGCTCTTAATTTTCAAAACACATTCTCTTCCTCTGGATAGGAAATGAAAATATTTTTATTACTACCACTTGTGGGTTTAAGTACTTTTTCCTGCCCTAGAAAAACTGAGCTACTGCCAGCAATTGAGTGTGGTTCTGTGACTGAGATAAAATAGCCTTGGTGTGAAAAAGACCTACCAAGGTAATTTTAACTTTCATGGCCTTTAGCTTGAAAATTTAGCTTCAGCCTTCTGAACAAAAGTTAATGACTGATAAAAAATACTTCAGACAGTACAACTTGCATACATATTGACTATCTGGATTAAATAATACTCTTTGTTTCATTTCAAAACTGTGCTGCTGTTCGTGTGTAGAAAGGAAGCTAATGTAATAAATCTTTTACTGGCTTAATTTTAATAAGTCTAGGAGAAAGTAAAAATAGCAGTACTCCTTGCTAGGTAATAATATGAAAACATTTTTCTTTCTAAGCACCTTGATTATCTAGGTAAATTAGAATATTGTTGTTTGGGCCACAAAGCCGTGGTAAGTTACAGCTTGAGTTGTGTGACTTGATGTGAAAGGTTGCACATGGAATTGTCCTTACGTTCCAGACTTTGAGTGAGCCATAAGCATGAGAAGATGACTGAAAATTACGTACTTTTAAAGTCTCGCTTTTGTCATTTTTGGTTTTAGTATTTGAGAGAATGTGTCAGTAACTCCAGTTTTCTTATGCTTATTACTTTAAAATCTGATACTATATTGCAGACATTACCATTTAATAGGGAATTTAGAGTAATTTTCATGGGTTTAAATTGATTTCTTTTGAAGACAGTGGCTATAACTAAGAACCTTTGTTTGTAGAGATGTTGCAAAATAACATGAATAAAGTGTAAAAATCAGTCTGTCTGTAGATTTCTTTATTTGATTACCAAGATATTTTAAAACTACTTTTATAATAGAAGTGATGTAGATAGCATAGGAATGTACAGGATGAAACAAAAGATTTTAATGGCAGCAGCAATAAAGAAGACTTTATAGAGTGATAAAACATTTTTCTGGTGTGATTCTTGATGATACTAATGAACTTGCTAGTACTTTTCAGGAATTTGAGGTAATGTTTTAAGAAGTGATGCTAGGTCTATGTTATATGTTGTGCATTTATATATACACTAGAGTATTATGTGACATAAGTACTTACTCCTGCCTTTATCGTTCAAGGCGGCTGAAAACACTCAGAGTGATACAAGTGTCTCATCAGGGGAAGCAAGCAAAAGAAGTATTGATTTTCTGCCTAATGAAATAAAACTAGATCCTCAACTAGAAAACAAAGACTTGAATACCAAAGAAAAAAGTGATCCAGTTATGGATGAAGATGATGTAGTGGGAGATTCTTTCTTTGATGACCCTGTACCCAAACCAGAAAGAACTTACGGCTGGTAAGTAACATGGATGTTCTTCTTAATACATGGTTTGTTTTGTCCTCTGTATGCTTTCAGACCTTTGAGAGCTATTAGTTATTTGATTATTTGCTTTTGTAAGTGTTCAGATCTGGAACAAAAACATCTGTTTCCAAAATATTCACGTCTCAGATTTTGTTCTATTCCATGATTCTGTTCTATACTATGTGCAGTGTCCTCTGGGATCTCTTGAATGTAGTATGAGTGGAAAAACCTGTATCACTTTAAGGTGCTTCAGTTAGGGTTTCTAATGTCCCCAGCCTGTTTCTTTGGTGGAATGAAGATGTATGAGGCACAGACATCAGTGTTTCTTCTTGCAACAGAGCTGCAGTGGTGATCTGTACTAAAGGAATTGGACAGTGACAGGGACAGTGGATTAAATATTGGTACAACTTTGTAAGGAATACAAAAAACACTCTAAAGAGGCACCACAGACTGTAATAATAAGGAAAGTTTCCTTACAGCAGGGGATTTTCTCTTTACGTTGCAACACCTTTTGTGTTTTCAGTGAAGTGTTGTTACTTCTGCATGTGCCAGTTTTGCAGATGCAGCAAAGCACATTTTTTATTGTTCATCTGTAGAGTCTGATGACTGAAAAATGCCATTTGAAACAAGAACTAGTGACTGAACTATACAGCACCTTTGTTATAAAACTGAAAACGTTATCTTTGTGTTGTCATGTTGAGTTATCTTGAAGCCTAGCTTAGATATCACTGTATTGAGCAATGCTGCAGGATCATTTCATGGTTTTCTTTGCTGTGCTCAAGTAATCAGAGAATTGCTCCAGCTTAGCAGACATTAAGAAGAGGTTGCAAGATCATTTCTAAATCGGTTTGGCAGTTGAATTTTCCCCCCTCTATGCTGATAGTGGGCAGAGCAGCATAAGGTTTTTTGTATTACTCCTACAGCAGATGCTTAGTCTTAGAATAGGATCCTTCTGGTAGAGCACAAAGTAATCGTGCCAGATAAACCAGGTTTCTCTCTAATAAATTAATGGACTCTTTGTGAAAAATTATTTATAATACAGTTTTTGTTGGATGTTTTTCATTGGAGTGGACTTCTTTTTCCCTCAAAGAGCAGTGGTTGTACTCTGGAAAATATTGTGTGTTACAACTAACCCTATTGTAGTATTTATTTTCTCATTGTTAATATCAAGATTAAAACTGCATCTGAATGCATTTACTCCTCCTTACTCGAGAGCTTGTTTAGCCTTTAACCAAAGTAACCGTTGTAGCAGGTAGTCTAAATGGTAAGTTGGGTAAATTAGAAAAGGCTGTAAAAACTTTTGCATAATAATAATAATATTTACTAATTTCTTATTTTTTGAACATTTTCATGTGACAGCAAGGGAAGTTTTCTTTGAAACTGTGTAAACTAGATTTCTCTAAAAGACAATCCAAAAAACAGACTAATTATTTAGTAAAGTAAGGATTTGTTTTCCTAGTAGAGAAACTCCCTACAGATAAAATTGCTTCCAGATTATGTCTGTCTGTAGTAGAGTCACAGTCCACAAGTAGTATTTTGTAGCACATAATGTTACTGTGATGCAGCTATTCCAGTAACATCCCATGATAACCTGCTGAATGTGTTACCAACAAATGAGCTGGAATTTGTAGCTGAGGTGTGTGTGCTGACTTGCTCGTTTTTACCTTCCTGACAACTTTTCTAGAGGGCAAAAAACCCCCCATATTCTTCACATAGAATCCCCTTTGTGGTACTTTCTGCTGTTATGCTGGAGTCCTAAGGGGTAAATAAGCAGGACCACTGCCAGCATTGCTTTCTTTGCAAAAAGGTAATTTCCTTGTGGAAATCTTGCCCATTCATTTAAGATGGGTTCAGAGCAAACAGTTGCTAATGACAATGTGAGAGATGATCCAGGCACTTACTATCTCTAGGTCTCTGACCCCTTGTTCAAAATTTTGAAGCACTTTAACGTGTAATTTTACACATGATATTTTGGTGATCTAGATATGATGAGTGATTAAATTATGCCCATTATTAATAGGAATGGAATCAAAATAGCAAAAAGTTCTGGCAATACTAAATGTGAAAATCTTGATTTCTTTTAATTTGTGTTTATTCATCCTTTATTTGCAAGTTCAAATCCTTTTGAACTAGGTAGTAGCCAAATGGACTTTAACATGTGGTGAGATCTAGCTTCCTATAACCAAGAGGTTTTCATTCTGTGAAATGACTGCTCTTAGAATTAATAGCTTCATCAGATGTAATCTCTTTAAGATGTAAAACAAACTGAAGTACTGATTTATGTCTGAATCTTTTTTCTTTTGGCTGCATTTACATGTGGTGATGATGAAAGGCCCCTAGACATAAATATTGATGCTGATGAAGGTGCTCTGTCTGTGGGAGAAGATAGGTGGAAGTTTTGCATGGGTTAGAAAGTGGCTTTCTCATTCAGTGTTGTGGTTGACACTTGTGCCAGTGAACTGCCTACTCCTTTTAAGGTTGCAGAGTGAATAGACCTTTTCCTTGCTCTTTTTTGCTGTGGTATTGATGTTTTAGTTTGATGACAATTTAATAACAGAAAATAAAGTAATTATGCATATTTTACAGCTGTTATTGGAAGTGGAGTACTTATTTATTTGGTTTTTACAGGAAAACTGAGGCTAATAAAGCAGGTGGTCTAGCATCCCTTTCTGATGCACCGGCTCTAAAAAGTGGGTTAAGCTCTCTGACTGGTGCACCTTTGCTAAAGGAGTCTGATAGTAAGTTTTCGTATTTTTTTTGTGTTTTGATGATTATAGAAGTTATTTCTGTACACGTTTAGATGGAAAAATGATAGCATATGTGGTCCCCTTCTGGTTGTGCTTTACAGTAGGTGCTTTCTTAGCGAGTGATGGCATACTGACAGTTTGGATATAGTGTGGTACCACTGGGGCATTTTATGCTTTGGAGCATGAAATACTTATCTACATCCCTTTTTTGTCTGTATATAAAGGAGTATATACTTCTGCTGCTCAGTTTTAAACTGAAATTGGCTTATTCCTTTGTATTATATTAAATTATTTGTACCAGTTCTTTAGAGGTGTTTGCTTTCATGTTGTAAATCCCTGAGAAGTGGGAGATTATTCCTGTTTACTCCTCAAGTTTTTAAAAGTTATCAGAGTTCAACTGTGAAAATATAATATGATATTGCTGTACTATGCTATAAAAGTGCACAAGGTTGATATAAAAGAACAGGTGTTATAAATGGTTAGTTTGTATGTGTAAGTGGGATCTTACTAATGAGTGACAAGTCCAATTTCTGATAAAAGTGCTTTTGTTTACAGATTTGGATAGAAACTCTGTTTTAAAAGACCTGCGGTTGGTGAATGCAAAGCTAGGATCACTAGAATTAGGCAAGTAACTGCTAAACTCTGATATTTTTCGTTGTCCATAACTGAAAAATTCTGGCCCAGCTTCTTAAAGGAATCTGAGAAACTCAAATACACATATTGAACATCAGTTTTTACTTACATTATTCTGTTTAACATAGATTGTGAAGCTTAATATAGTTAAAAGCAAGATGTAATCTAAAGAAATCCAGAAAAGTGAAAAACTGGTGTCGTGTGTGTTAATATTTTAAACATGGAGCAAAAATTTTATTAATTCTGTGCATGCATTTACTAATACCAAGTGATGAATTTTGTTGTTACGGTTTCTAAAAAAACAGGGGGTTTATATTTTTGGTAAAAGGTAGCCTAGCAAGTATTATTGCTTTTCAGTGGCATATTTAGTGGTCCTCCACTCCTCTGAAGAAGGTGTGATGGAAGAATTCTCTCAAAATAGAGCTGTCTAGTATTTTAGTATTTAGTATTTTAGTATTTATGTTATGGCAAACATAACTCGTCTTCCTAATCCGTGTAAGTAATTTAATCTACTCCCACTTTTGCTGGTCATCAAACCATGTATTTTGGTGCAGGAATAGATTGGGGGGGTTTTGTGTTTCCTGAAGAGAAAACTTGTTTGATTAATAGCTTTTAAATCTTATTTAGGAAATGGAGATGATGATGAATATGCTGATGATTTCAACAGGTAAGAGAAGGATCATTCCTCAGTAGGGTAGTACTTTATGCATATAAAGTACTTAAGCATATCCACTAGCATATTTGAATTGTTTCATAATACGGTCACTATCACTGAGATCTGTCAGTATTTCTGACCCCCTTTTAACTTCAGTTTGCTATTTTAATAGATTAATTATCAGTTAAAAAACAACAAAACAATATCTCTTTTTGTATAGGGATAATGAGTTCCTTAAACTGCTAATGTCAGCATGATACTATGTTGGGTTTTTTTTGGAAGGGGTTTGAGGTTTGGTTTTTCTTCCTGAACCATGCATTTAAAAATGTTTTAGCAATTAATGCAATTAGTTAATAATTACGTTGGATGCTGAGATATTCAATTGTAAAATAAGGTATCATGAGTAGTTGGTAATAAATATTTAACAACCTCCTGCTTATGATGTGAAGGTATTGGTGTTGTAAATTGCATGATAGAGGCCTAAGTATTTCTCAGCATTTATTATGGCTTCGTTTAGGTAGAAAGCCTTTAGTTGTTATGAAGTTTAAAGTAACTTCACATCTAATTTGCTAGGAAGTGCAATTTCAGTCAAATGTCCGGCATAAATTAAATGTCATGCCTAGATGTTTGATAAGGAAGTCTTATTTCTGTGCTTATGGTTTGCTTTCTTTTTAGTACAAGTCATCGCTCGGAAAAAAGTGACATCAGTATCGGTGAAGAAATAGATGAAATTTCTGTGGGAACAGAAGAGTCAAATGCCAGTGATAAAGTATGATTATTTTTAAATTGTTGGTTTTTATATTCTTCTGATCTTGTCTTGACTTTTTTTAAACCTGCTGTGAAGTAACATGCTGTTACCCTTAGTTCCTAGGTTGTATGTTAAGGTCTGTTATTCGTTACATTCTGGATTTCATGCCTAGTATCCTTGCTAAGTAAGGTGCTATATTGATTAACAAAATCCCAACAAAACAAAAACACTGCAACAGTTGTGCAGTAGTACAACTCACTGTGCCTTTCTAGGTGTGTAAAATGTATTTGAAGCTTGTTCAGTGTCCAGCATACAAAGGTTTATCCCAGTGTCTCAGGATCTGTCTGGTACCTCGTAAAGGATTGTGTAATCTCATTGAAAGAGCTTAAGGCTAAAAGGTACATGAAAGCACATGAAGGAATGCATGACATAGTACTTACTGGTTTTGTGATTTCTGAGTTTACAGTTTTATTTCTGTTTCTTTTCTAGCTCGAAAGCATCACACAAGACCTTACCATTTCTCAGTTAAGAGACGTTGCAGATTATCTAGAGGACGTGGCATAGAATTGGACAGCAAAAATCTATCATTGTGCTGGACTAGAAGACTGCTGTGGACTATTAATTTCAGACAATCACCTTTTGCTGGAATGTCCGCTCCCTCTTTGTGCCTTGTGTTTTAAAAATACTGTAGGTGAAGAAGATTTTTAAATATTCTGAACAAGAACTAGACTAAATAGTGTGTTCCCATTTGAGTCTGATATCAGAATTACTTTCTTCATTTGATTCAGCCAAACCTTTCACAGAAGGAGGTGGATTTTCCAAGCTGAATGTCAATTGCTGGCAGTGGACATAATAAAAACCAATTGGTAAGAGAACATTGAGAAAGCAGCATGTGGCTTTATCGTGAACTTGCACTGTTATTTTAACGGTCAGATTTTTTTTAAAGATAACCAAAGCAAGAACCTTCGAAGGTAGTGGTTCAACTCATACTTCTTTTAACACAACCTTGTCAAGTCAGCATGTAGTCCATATTTATGGTAACTCTAGCCAAAATACCTAATTACTCCAGACTTACTTGAAACTGCTCTTTTACAGACTCCTCTGAAAATTGGACTTTACCTTTTTAAAAAGGATCTTAAATTGAGAGTATCTAAACTCTTAAACCTAAATTTCGCTATATTTAGGAACTAAATTTAGCACTAGTCTTAAGCCAGAATATTCTTGTTTAAATATGTTTGTCAAACCATTGATGTTAAGACCTAAGCTGTTTCTATATATGATAATTTTTTCAATGTTATCTGTTGTTAAATCATGAAAAGTAATTTTGTAATGATTCACAAATCAGTAACTAAATCTTATGGGGTAAGTTTTTAACAGTGTGTAATACTTAGTGGAGCGTTTATTTTTGAGGGTTCTTCATGTGCTGTAAGATCACTTTCATTCTTGGAAATATTTTAAGTAAAAATGAGCGCCAAAAAGTGAAACTGCTAAACTTCTGCTTCTCAGATTCTGACTGCTGTACAAAGTTCAATGCAAATATTTAAAAATACTGAAGACATTATGGACACTAACTGCTAGCTAGGAGCAAATTCTTGTATTTTCATGATGCTCTTGCAGAACAGGGTCAGTCGTGGCAAGGTTGACAGTTCTTCAGTGATACTGTTGCAAGTGGCACTGCTGTAATGTGTAGGTCATTTGTAATGGACAAATTTGGACACTTGTAATACTGAAACAAGACTTCAAAATGTGCACTTTCTGAACATTGTGAACACATCTGGATAACAGACATATAAGTGAATATAAATAATTTTATTTTTATCTTCATTTTCTTTTTTTGAGGATTTGTAATTTTCTTTTTCAGGAGCACTATTGGCCTGTTATCAGTAGTCACCATAATGGAAGTAGCATGCTAAACTAAAGCCATTGGTTAAGCATATAAAGATACTACTGTCGCTAGAAGCTGACTTAAATATTTTTTTGCACTGGTCCAGCAGGCCTGGAGCAGTGCTGGGAAGTTAGGCTTGTACATTACATGAATGATTTGAGAGGAGACAGCAAAAGTGTGCCTTTTATTTATGTGCACCCCAAAAATAGCCAGCAAAAAAGCATCAGAGTATTTAGTTATGCTGTTAACTTTTAACTTTGTGCCATATTGTAGTAGCTGAACACAGAGGAGAATTTTTTTCACCCTAGGAAGTCAATGTGCCATAACTTCAAATAGGAACAATGCTGTAACATATGATATAGCATGTGTAAAAAATTTGTCTGTGCCTCAAGATAATGTATATGGAAAAGTTTGGATTGGACTTTTTTCCATTCTTTTTTCCTTTATTTTTTCTTAAGAATAGTATCAGCATGTCTGAAGGAAATAAAATTTCACATGAACAGTTGCTTTTGGCATGCCTTTTTAAGGTGTATGGAATAATGCAGAGGCAGTGTTGTTTGCTTTCTTACATGCCTTGGGAAAACATGATGTTCCATTACCTGTTAGCTGTAGGATATGTGGTGATTTATCGTACCAAAAGAAACCAAAAGTTTATTAAAATACTTCTAATTGCATTTGAAGATGTGGCCTTTTCATTAACTAATTAGATATTTTAAGTGTTAACATGACTTGTGTTAACAGCCAAGTATTGTTCTTACCTTTGGGAATTAGTTGGAGACCTTGCACTTTGGCTCTAATTGAAGGAAATACCAAAAAGTGGTACATCTCCATGCTGTTCCTCCTGTGAACTTTTACTGAATTGTGTATAATAATTCAAATTGTAGAATAAAGCTATTGTGCTGGCTAAATCATGTTTTGAGACTTGTTGAACCAGAAATCTTAACATTTAAATAAATTAAGAAAGCTCTATGGTATTTGAGGGGTTTTTATGAAAAATACTTTTTTTATAGTCCAGTCTGCAATTGAGAATCCTTTTTAACCCAAAGGATCTTGCAATTCCTGATGATGAATCTGGTTAAGACTTGACAGAATTACATTAGTGGTATCAGCCCAAGTTGTCAGAAGGTTTATGATTCAACAAAAGAAAGAAACCCAACAATCTTGATTGGGTCGTTTACCACTGTTAGAGGTATTTGAACATAAGTGACAAGTTAAATTCTCTTGAATGGTTGTTTCACTGTATATTTCAAACCATACTGTTTAGTATTTCACATAGGCTTCTCCCAGAAGGACCAATGTAGTTGAGTACCTCACCTCAGATGTTAGAATTGACAACCAGAGCCCTGTAATAAAAAGATGGGAACATTTCTGTGAGCAGAGAAGCAAGTGTTGGAGAGGGACACTGATAACTGCTCTGCGTAGTTCTGTATCAACTAGGTCTGGTTAGAAATAGTCTATTTTGTTAAATGCTCTCTGTAATTTTTTTAATAAATTCCATGGTTTTTCAGAAGTAAAAACTAGACTATGACTGACTGTTGCATAGCACTAACATGGCTCTTGTAATAAGGCTAGATTATAAAAATGATACCTGTCTTTTATTTTTTTTTTTTGTGAAATTGCTACATTCCATCGCTTTTTAAGTTAAATGGGAAACCACAGCACATCTCATAAAATATTTCCTTGTAAGTGATGCTTTTCTGCAGATATAATAACATCACTATCAGGTTTAGACTGTTTTAACAGCATACAGACACTACACCTAGCTCTTGAGACAACTGAAACACCTGATTAGGTGATGCTGGTAAAGATGGGGTTTACTACTTCATTTTCATTTTACTATAGTCATTTTCACTGATGAAATACTATCAACAAAGACCAGCCTTCTCCTCAGGAAGAAAAATTCATCCATGGGTAGAACTTTGTGGCACCACAGATGCATGTCTTTTGGCAGGCCCTTTAGTTTGATGTTTTCTTTGTAAGGCAGAGCCAAAAGAAATTGAACTGAATTGCAAGAGGTGCAGTTCTAGTAGATTTGTAAGTGATCTCATTCATACTGAAGCTAAATCCTCTAAGGCTAGCTGCCAAAATCTCCCAAAGCATTTTTGTAGCCAATTTGTGGACAGATAGGCTGGATAAAAAGCAACTTTGCAGAAAAGAGACTGGAGGAAGCTTTGAAGAGTGAAAGCCTGGAAGTGTGGGTCAGTGTGCAGGCTGAGGGAAGTGGTTACTTCCCCTTCCTTGTGTGAAAAACGCCAATCACTTGTTTTTCAATTCCACTTAAGGAGCTCTGTTGGGCCTAAGCTGCTGCCTTTCCAT